ATAAGTCCCTTTCTTGAGAGACCAATTAAAGACTGGTGTCAAAAGGTTGTTAAGTAATAGTAGTTTCTTCACTATAAATAAATATCAGGTCAACTAATTGTTACACTGTACTTGTGCTGTAAATACAGTCCGGTAGTTATAGTAATTATTCGTGGCTACTGCTTTCAAATAGAGCTTTGTATCAAGAGCTTGATTTCAGTCAGTAGTGAGCACATTTTAGTGGTAAGGCTGGGGGTCCTTGAAATTGAAGTAAAATACCATAGCTACTTAAATAAACCCGTCATGCATTTGTTGCATAAGGCTTTCTAATAGTAGTTCACTGTACTCAGGTTTATTTTCATAAAACTAGTCAAGTTTCATGGTCGCTTTTCCAAAAGTTCAGGTCACGTAAGTTAAAAAATTTCCCTAAACTTTGTTTTTTTTTGTTTTTTTTTTTTTTATCAGCCTTCATTGCTGCTTCATACAAATATTTTATCATGGAACTTAGGCAAGTGAATCACCCGGGAGTTACAAACTTGCTACATAAATTCTTATCTGTAAGAATAGTGATTTGTGTTATTTGCAAGGCCTGGACAAGTTGAGAGAGGAGTATATTCTTTTAAATACGTTACGTTAATGAACATTAAGGCCAAAGATTCTCCACAAGAGATATGGTGGACTTTCTTTTTCAATTAATTGATTTGAAAATACTTCAAGCTACAAGCAAACACTTGTCTCAGATTTCACTTTGCTGTTTCATAGTTCACAGAAAGCGTGATAAGGGGCTTAAGAACAGAGAGATAGTGGGATGGCTAAGCTTGACAACATGGGAATATCTTCTAAAGATGAAATTAATTTTACCATTAGACTCCTTCAGCAACTGGCAAAACAGCAGGAACGCATTGATTCTGCTTCCTTGGTTACAGGCAGTGAGAGTGCACTTGACCTTCAGAGGAGAAGGGTCACAGAGAATCTGTTTTATAACAATTCTGGTTGCTTTCAATGATTGGAATCCTTATGAATGGACACTGGATGCAAATATCTTTGATCTGACTAGAAGTGAGTGCAACATTTTGTTTCAGATTGTTTTGGCCTCAGAGACTTGCTGAGGAAAAATGTAAATAAGACTACAGGAAGGATTTGACTCTGTAAGTACTGGAGTCAGTACAGCATGCAGCTAGGGAGCTCCAAAAAGCAAACAATGTTACATACATTAGAACATATTATTTTTCCCATTTCTTAAAGTAGGTGTATTTGATCTGTCTTCTGTAGGGGAATTAGGAGGTCTTGAGATGATTTTTTTTTTTTTTTTTTTTTACATGACATTCATGATTTTCTAACTGTCTCTAAGTCAGGATATCAGTGTGTTCGGGGGTTTGTTTGTTTGTTTTAAGGACTGTGAAGTAAGTCTGTGTAAAATGTGATTCACTGAAGTTTTGTGATACAAGGCTGGTTTATTTCTTTCATCTTCTCTGGAAAGCTTCCTGTCTTAAAGAAATTGGGGCGCATTTAATTTTTTTAAATATAATTCAGAATTACAAAAATGTACCGTCACTGACTTTAAGTAGGTCTTTGTATGTACAGCTTCCGCAGTGGTTGTTTAAGCATTATACAGGTTTTTCATTATACAGGTGTGATGTTTGTTTTGAACAGTATGCTGATGTAGGAATTTGGTAAATGTAATCCTGAAAATGAGCCTAACGTCACGCTCAACTGCGACCTTCCTGAAATGAGCATTTATGAGAAATTTGCTTTCAGAATATTTTCATCCGATTTGTGCTATCTTTAATTAGAATCCCAATTTTTTTCTATAGCATTTATGCAAGCTGTCTGAAGTCAGCCTGGTAAATCTCTAAAAGTGTAGAGAATGGTGCATATGCTTGGACTGCTGTTTCTTTCTTCATTTTCTACTTAAGAAGTCAAACTTGTAACAGTTGATGAGTATAATAATAAATCATCAGAATTATATCTGTTCTTATTCATTGTAGGTGTATGAAAACATTCAAGGTAGAAATTCAGCTGACATAATATTACAGAAGGTTGTTTTGTTTGTTTTTTCCTCTCTTGTAAACTGTTCCATTTTTTTGATTTGACTTTCTATCCTGGCTCTTACTTTGCTGTCAACCAATGGCAGTCTGGAAAATAAACTTGATATTTTCAGTAGCCGTTGAATTTAAACAAGGAAGCTGATGTTCATTTGTGTCCACTGGGAGTCTCTTGATAGGTACTTTTCTGTTTCTTGTTTTCTTGCCTAGGTATTTCTCTCTACTGCTGGGTAATCTAATATCATCTAATAATGAGAGTATACTACACGTGTGTCTACCTGTTCGTTTGCCTCATTTGTCATTCAACTTCTGTGCCCTTTGTTTTAAATACAGCTTTAGATTTTACTTCTACAGTATATGGGACTACGTAGGATATGGGCAATAGGAGAGTAAAACAGTGTGGCTTCATGAAAAGTGCTGTGTATTTTAAGACTTATTTTTTTTTCTCCCAAGGAGACCGTGCAGTAAATTTTCCTTTCTATCCAAACTGTTTTTTTTTCCTTCACAAATTAAGTTTTTTGTATATTAAACAGGAGCTGATTAAACTGACACTACCCTGTTGTTCACCTATACAAGTTCAGATGAGTAAATCATTCAGAAGTTATTTGAAATAAGATGTAATAAAAACAACTTGAGTTTCCTAGGTTTGGTCACCTGTCTCTGCAGATATTGGGCTATTTTGGTACTCTAATTCCTATGTAGAATGCTATAACCAGTCATATCGCTGTCTACAACCACCTGAAAAGAGGCTGTGGTGAGGTGTTGGTTGGCCTCTGCTCCCATGTAACTAGCAACAGTATTAGAGGAAATGGCCTCAAGTTGCACCAGGGCGGGTTCACGTTGGATTAGAGAAAGAATTTCTTCTCCGATGGAGTGGTCAGGCACTGGAATGGGCTGCCCAGGGAAGTATTTGAGTCACCGTCCCTGCAGGTATTCAATAAACGTGTAGTGGTGGGACTAAGAAATGTGGTTTAGTGGGGAAATGGTGGTGGTAGGTGGATGGTTGGGCTAGATGGTCTTGGAGGTCTTTTCCAACCTGGGTGATTCTCTGTGTTCAATGCAGCCCTGTAGATATTGTGAAACTGTAAACTTGTATTTGTGGGGCATTTATGAAAACACAAATTGTTTGCAATTCTTAATTACAGTTATTGTAAATTATGAAGTTTACAATATGAAAATACTTAAAATTCTGAAACTATCAATATGTAAAATCTGTTAAACTGAAAATAAGGTTTATTTAGCATTAAGCAGATGTAATAATTTAGGCATATAGTTTGTTGAGATTAAAAAACATTCTTCCAAAGAATAGAGTTCTGGCCTATTTGCCTGGTTTTCAATAGTTATGGCTTAAACTGGGTGTAGAAGAAACCAGACTGCAATATTCTGTTCTTTTTTTTATGATACATCACTGCAGTATTTTATTCCCACTAGGATGGAATACCTATAGAAGTGTGTACCATGTCATAACAATTCATAACACTTTGTTTTCAGACATGCTGCACGTGGAATGTTTGCTGTCAGCAGTCTTCCAAAGTGTTGTTTTTTTCTATCATTTTATATAATAACTTTCAAAAAGAATGTGACTAAAAAGTATTCGTGTCATACTGTTGCCTGCGGACAGTAGTGTCACCTCTGGAGTGAAGTGCAGTGTTATTACAGTAAATATTTACCTACTGCTTAGAATGGTGTTACTTTCTGTAACCTGTTGCAACAGAATGTCATGTATACTGTTATTCAAATATTTTTGATCCTGTCTGAAAACATTGGTGAGCACGTGCAGTATATGGCTTTAGAACAAAATCATCTTTTGTTTGAATTTTCTCACAAGAGTTAAGCTATCAATTCAAGTCATAGATTACTGACTTGGGAAATGCACTGGGAAAGCAGAGCCAGTCATCACGCTAGTGAACTCCTCACTAAAATAACAGAAGTTACCTGCATGCACTTGAATACGTGCTGAGTGTGCTGATATCTGTAGAAGTATACATTCAAGAAAAAAGCTTGCAGTACCATGAAATAGAAAGACAGAACAACTTGGAAAAAGAAGATGGGAGGGAGGCAAGCAGCACACAAAAAGAGATATCCAGATTACTAGCTGTAATAAATGTAACTTTTTACCTCTAAAAATATTTGCCCTGTTAAGATTTTTCTTACTTTTTACTTGGAGAGTGAAATTACCATTTTGTTCAGTTAGGCTGTAAAGGTAACTTTAAAGGTAAATTTTACTTTCTGTAAAGTTTTCAGAAAACTTCATGGATAAGATCAGAAATCAAAATGAAGTGTATGTTTGTTTGGGTAGAAGGTCTGTGTACTCTTCAAACAAATTCTGTGTATCTCTTGTCCCATCTTTGAACCCGGGATTGAGGACATTTTTATTTTAAATTTTTAACATAATGAAATATTTAACATGACACATTGTAAAAACAAAATACACAAAGGAAAAAAAGGGGTGAATAGAAAATTGTAAGTTGAGAAAAGTGCATTTCTGCATTTCAGTAAACCGAAGACTCGTGCAATTTAACTGTTTTCTTTGGTTGTGAAAAATTGTAATTGTTTTGTAACTTTGAATATGCCTTGATTTGGTCTTGCGGTTTTGGGTTTGTTTTTTTTTTTTTTGTCATTTATCAGGTTCATTCTATCCCGCCCCTCCAAAAAAAAAAAAACCCAAAACCAATATACCTGTAATTTATTGAAAAAATATCTGAGTTGGTTTAATGGTTGTAACCTTTCCATTAAATGTAGGTTGAATGCTAAAGCCATCTGACGTTTAGTAAGCATCTGTATTTTGAAGTGTATAAATCAGAATTGTGTGTTATTTTACAGGTACAAACTATTCAGAATTCACTATCTGATTCTCCAGTGATGACCAGCCCTTCCCAGCGTATCCAGATTATTTCCACAGATTCCTCTGTAGGCTCACCACAGCGCATTCAGGTAAAAATCTATTGGCTTAGCAGTAAGCTGTTACGACTTCATTTTTTTCCCTTTTCCTGCTCCCATTTTATACAAAACAGCATTAAAATCTATTGAAGGTTTCTTCAAAATCTGTAAGAATAGATCATTTCTATCGCAGACCAGAACTCTTTCTCTCAAAGGATGCGATTAATGATGGCTAGTTGGCTGTATATAGTAACTGTATTGGTGTAGTGGAGTGAGGAATATTTTCAGGGGTTAAACAGCCTACATATACAAGTTGCATGAGCTCTAACCATACCAAATGCACAGACACTGTCAACAGACAGTCAGAACGTTTAAGATCATCATTAAAGACTTTTCTCCTTTCCTTCCTCTATCCCTCCCTCCCTCTCCCTGTCACATTTAGAAAGAACCAGTGGCAAACTTGCCTGCGAAGGCTGAAGTGAGCGCTTGTATTACTACCTGGTGGATTGTTGTTATGCATGGATAATATAAAGATAGCATTACTATATCAGAATTCTAAATGTATGCAGTACCAAATGGTATGAAAACTAAATATTAGCGTTACTAAAGTGCTGCAGTACTTCTTTAGCTGTCCTTGGCCTTGTTTTGTGCCAGTGCAATACTCGTGTACTTTTTGCCGGAGGTGGTGCAGGAGAGGCATTTGAAATGGTCCTGGGCATACAACCTCCACCAGTTCACCAGATGAACTCCCACTTTTCGCGAATTTATCTAATATTTCTCTTCTGTATGGTAGGTATGAAGATAAAGAAATATTCTAAACAACTTGTTTTGTTTATATTATTTTGCAGTTATAACTTTGCACGAATCTAACAGATAGCAAAGTAATTAGTAGCAAGGGCATTTATGAAACAGTATTTTATAATTGTGACACAGAAACATGCCGTTCTTCAATGTGTTTTATAGATTGTGACTGATCAGCAGACAGGTCAAAAAATCCAGATAGTGACAGCAGTCGACTCAACTGTGTCTCCAAAGCAACAGTTTATTTTAGCCAGTCCAGATGGAACTGGTGCGGGAAAGGTGATTTTGGCAGCACCTGAGACATCTAATGCCAAACAACTTATCTTTACCACTGCAGACAACATTGTGCCAGGCAGAATTCAGGTAAATATGGTAAACAAGATTAACCACAGATTTTTTTTGTTTCAGTTTTTGACTTTTCGGTGCTTTAAATGTAGAATTCCTGTAAGACATCAGGAATTGTGATAATTTTGTAACATGGATTAGATGATAACAATTGTAGGCTACGGTAGTCAGTCCTAAATCACGCTGTCTTCATCTTTCTCATGCATTCGATTGTATTCATTGCCTCTCATTGAAATTCCAGTTATGAGAAAGCATACACAAATAATTAAGCTGGTGCTTGTGAGGGGTGCCAAGCTTTCAGACCTAGTAAAGATTTACAGATCTGCAATGATAGAGCTTACCTGGGCAAACATAGGCTCACAGTGCAGTGTCACAGTATTGGGATTAATGTTCTTCAGTGCAGAAGCTGTCACAGAATCACAGAATTGTAGGGGTTAGAAAAGGCCTCTACAGACCTTCTAGTCTGTGAGAAGTGCTTGTGTTCGGTATTCCAGACTCAGGCAGAATTTGCTTTGAATCACAAATTATTTCACGCTTTTGCAATAGCAGGTGACTTCAAGGATAAAAGGATGCAAGTAGAGAGAGGGGGCAGTTTATATTTCCTACTTCCCAGTGCAAATTCCCTCCCCTGTTTCTTTGTTGGTTGAGGACTCCAGAATTGATGCTTCTAATCTGATGCTTCTAATTCCCTCAGCAGATATCTGGTCCCTATTTACTTTGCTGCTTGGGTTACTCCTCTGTATTGTCCTCCCTTTCTTGTTTGGCTTTTACCTATCATGGTATGCTGCAATAACCTCTTATAGTTAACATTTCCCTCTGACTATCATTCATACTACAGAACCAGTTTGTACTGGTACATCTTGTTACATTACTCAAAAATTCAAGGTCTTCATTTCTGCAAGTAGAAATGTATCTGAGCTCCATGGTGCCTCTTTGAACCGTTTTGCAGTCATTACATCCTTTTGCAATGCAAAGACAGCATTTATTTCATTATAAGTCCAACCTTCCTGCTAAGGAAGGTTCCTAAGAGCAAGCTGCAAAAGAAAGTATCCAGGTTTTGAATATCTCCAGAGAAAGAGATTCCTTTATCTCTCTGGGCAGCTTGTTCCAATGCTCTGTCATTCTCCTGTTCATATGGAACCTCCTGCGTTTCAACTGGTGTTCAGTGCCCCTTGCTGTGCACTAAAAAGAGCCTGGCCCCGTCCACTTGACCTCACCACACTTTAGGTACTTATAAACATTGATAAGGTCCATTCTCAGCCTTCTCTACTCCAAGCTGAACACATCCCAAGTCTCTCAGCCTTTCCTCGTAAGGGAGATGTTCCAGGCCCTTCATAATCTTTGTAACCTCCACTGTACTTTCACCAGCCAGTCTCTAACTGCCTTGAACTAAGGAGCCCAGAAGTGGAGACAGTTCTCCAGATGTGACCTCACCAGGGCGAGGTAGAGGGGAAAGATCACCTCCCTCACCCTGGTTGATCAGACTCTTTAATGCATCTTAGGATACAATTGGCCTTCGTGGCTGTAAAGGCACTCTGCTGGCTTATAGCCTCTGTTGTATTTGTGGGCCTTGTAGTATCAACGGGAACTCTGAAAAACAAATCATATAAGCAATAATCCATTTCCAGTGAAACTTGAGATTTTTTTCCTAGCCCCCTCTTAAAAAAGTAAAATGAATGAATACGAGCTGATGCCTGGTTCCTATTCCTACTATTAGAGTAAGAGAGTATTTTACAGTGAGCAGTATCTTTTTTTAATACAATTTTTTTTGACAAATTGTGTCAACAGTCCTTGAAAATTCATTTTATAATGTTGCACAATCTGTTACCAAGTAGGTTTTGTTTTGTTTTAATTTTTCTGTGGTGAGTTGAATGTTTTCAACTAAGTTTTGGGATCCAAGGTCTTCAGAAGCCAGACTGTTTTCTATAATTAATCTGTTTCAGGCTGTATCCTCCAAACCATATATACGTACTAGCTACTGTGAGGATGTCTGGGAAGAGTGTGTGGAGTACAACCATCTTTGGCTAAATCACAGCAGTTGTTTGACAGTAATTTACAAGAAAGGAAGCATACTGCTGACTGTACAAGTGAGGGAACTTCTGTTGAACAAAGCTGGGAGTACAATTTGGGATTTGTGTTTTGCTTTGGCTCTCTAATAGTCTTGGCATTGACAGTAAAAATGCTCATTAACTTTATTTTATACTATTTAATTTCATTCCACATCTGTCATATTTGTCTTCACCTTTCTCTGCCTCTTGCCTGTTGATACACCAACCCTAGGCAGAGCTCCTTCCTTTCAGCAGAAAATACTGCCTAGTTACCTCTTCTTGTTTTGGAATTTTCACTCAGATAGTGACAGACTCTGCTTCGGTGGAACGTTTGCTGGGAAAAGCTGATGTTCAGCGGGCCCAGGTAGTAGAATATTGCGTGGTCTGTGGTGATAAAGCATCAGGTAAGGAAGCATAGAAAGCAGTATTCAGGAAACTGACTGGAAACATTACTAGGGTGAAAGAAAGGAGATATCATGTGTTTTTAAATGATTATAACCGTGCTGATGGCAAAGGCAATTGAATCTAAGGTGGAAAGAGATGTTATACGTTTATAACTATATGCACAGAGTAGTACAGCTCTGCTCGAAATAATATTAATTTGTACTTACAGTGGAGTAAAGATAAATTGGCATGTGCTGAAAGAGGAAATAACAGTTGCAAAGCTCCTAGTAACTGAAACCATTTGAAGAGTTAAGTCCTGTTCCCCAGAGCTGCGGGCAGCCTTGCAGTAAGTGTTGCCTAGAAAAGTCTACCTGCTTCAAGGAAAAAATGCTTCTTAGAGATCACTGACAAACACAGGACTTCTTGGGGATTTTGGTTTTTTACTGTTAAAGAAAGAGGCAAGTAGAGATCAAGCGAGTCCTCAGTGGTTTCAGATTCATTCAACAAGCAATCTACTAAAAAAAATTTCAACATTAACTAAGGAAGCATTTTATGAAAGTGCTTATGTAATTAAAACAATATCAGCATTAATTTGCACAGGAGTTCTGACTAAACACTGAATTTCAGATTTTATTCCAAAATTACTTATCTCCATTTAATTAAATGATTAGCGTGTGTTCTTTTAATGCGACTTCAGGCATGTGCTGTCCTTTATAAAGCTCCTTTATATGCTGTAACAGCAGATAAAGTGGGAACTACTACTTCAGAGGCCTCTTATTCAAATAAAGGCTTGACCGCCTTCTCTCCACTTTCCCACCTAAAAGTCCTGACAAAAGGTATTAAAGCCTTACAGGATGTTTCTTTATTAATGCTTTCTGCAGTCCAAAATGTTGATGAGAATACAAAATAAGGGTGCCTAAGATAATTATTTTTATGTTAAAACGGGAGTTATTTCCTTCTTATGACAGTATATATGTTTCCTAGGTCGTCACTATGGTGCTGTCAGTTGTGAGGGATGCAAGGGTTTCTTTAAAAGGAGTGTGAGGAAGAATCTGACCTACAGTTGTCGTAGCAACCAAGACTGTATCATCAATAAACACCATCGGAATCGCTGCCAGTTCTGTAGGCTTAAGAAATGTCTAGAAATGGGCATGAAAATGGAATGTGAGTGTTAATTACCTAATGTGAGAGTGTGCCTATCAACTAAAAACTGTGTACTACTATTGGTTTTTAATGCTTTCATTTCAGTCTATGTTGATTGAAGGAAATAGAACTTTTGATATCCATCTATCTCACCTTTCTTTCATTGCTGATTATGTTTAATGTGCATTAGTTTTTATATGTATCTCAGCTTACCTGTGGTTCTAGAGCAGTCTAGTTAGTCACGCATCTTGGTATGCATGTTACAAATACAGCGTATGTGTATAGTACAAAATACTTCTACAAAGATGGATGTAAGTCTAAGTCTAATATTGCATGTACAGAACAGTTTTTGCAGGTTTATTTTTCTCTTTTTCCCAGAGATGGGAAGTGTTTGTCTTTTTTATATTTTGGTCATTTTAAAGCTCATTTTCCTGTTTGTATGCAATACTTAGCTACAGTTCCAGTGCTAGAATCCAAATAACTCTTTCAATGCATTTTAATTCCAATTTATAGCACCCTCTGCTTCTACAGTCCAGCACTTCATGAAGCCTGTTATCTTGTTGCTCTCTGATAAATTTAAGGAGAATTTAAGGTGAAGCAATAAATATTTCATTCTTCTATCTACTCTGATCTAATCAAGATAAATTCCAGCCACTGAGTTATAAAGGAGGCAGAATTTCATTTTGTAAATGAGATCTTTGTTGTATTTACACTTTAGAAATCCAGAGGGCTATGCACACACTGAATATGAGGTGTGACATCTGTGGTGAAGAAACTGCTTCATTTTCTGAAGCAAACCCTTTTCATCCTGGTGTTGTTAGGATGTATGCATACTGATTTTGCTGTGCACTGGTCCAGGTTTCTGATCAATATCTACGTATCTACCAAGCATAGAAAATAAATACATCTACTTACTAAGCCCTAAATTTTCCTGGCACTAACAATATTAGTAAAAACAGGATGAACAAATAAATAGCTTGCTGTTTACAAGGATAGGAAGAAACATATCCATGTATTTTAGCGTTACGTTGAAAAAAGCTATATAGTAGGATTAAATTTTTTGTTTGTAATGTTAAATCTTGTAGAGCAATAACCACTGTATGATTGATTTGTACAATGAATACATAGTAGTATTGTTTCCATTTGCATTTCAATTTCAGTTGAAAAATTGACATGGTGAAATGTTATGCCAAACTATGGATGAATTTGTAAGATTAGTGACTTAGATTCCAAGTAACTTTCTGTAATCTGATTAATAATAACACCTTAGTGTTATAAAGAAGTACTTTTCATTTCTCTTCTTTTTTAAAAGAGTTAAAGTTCTTGTTTGGCATATTGGAGAATAACCTTATTTTCTTCCAGTTTTCAGAATTTAGAAATGTTTCCAGTTGAAAAGGTTACTTTTAGAATGCTGCTCCCTAACTGGCCTGAATGAACGAATGGGAGAATTGCGTATGATGTAGAGAGTAATGTAGGGCAGTTAGCTGCATTTCTTGCGTAACAGAAAAATTCTGTAGCTAACTTGTATTGTTTCTACTCATTCAGAGTAAGGCTAAGACTTTGTGTATAGCTTTACCTGGAATAAGAATCCCCTCCCCCCTTTTTTTTTTTCTAATGTACGTTGCAGAATGTTTTGTCTCCTAAATACCTGTGAAAAGTCAAGCTTTGCCTCCAGTTCAGCAAACTTAAATGATCAATCTGTGCCTTTGTCAGTTAAAATTTACTTAGGCACAAGTATAGCAAAACTGGAAATGTTTCTTTGGTCTTTATATTAAATTTCAGTTTCATGCTGAACTAACTCACCACTGTAGTTATTAAAACAGAAATCCTACTATATGAGTTTTACCTTTTTAGTAGTTCATTCATTTTCTTTTGAATCTGCATGTTTATATCTTCATATAGCGGTTCAGAGTGAAAGAAAGCCTTTTGATGTGCAGCGTGAAAAACCGACCAACTGTGCAGCTTCCACTGAAAAAATATATATTAGAAAAGACCTACGAAGCCCTCTAATAGCAACTCCAACATTTGTTGCAGATAAAGATGGGGCACGGTGAGTAAATACATAAAAAAAAGTGTTGTTTAAGGTTATTTGTGCATTGCAGGCACAGCTATGTTCTTTTTCCTCCTACGCTCTAAAGCATTGGCCAATAAAAGAGTTCCAGTTTTGTTTTTCCGTTACCAAGACCAGTCTAGTATCTTCTGTTCATCATCATTGTCTTTGTGTGAGTACAGTTAGATGGTTTTAAGTTAGGAGGTGTAGCTCATATCAAAGCACAAGCAGGACAAATATGTGAAATGCAAGTAAAAAACATGGAGACTTACCAGTGCAATGGATTCAGGTGCACACTGTGCTGCAATCAGATCCACGAATAGCAGACTTCAGTCTTCCCCTTCCTGAAAACAGTAGTGAAGAGCCTACAGTGACGGATGATTCAGATCCCAAAAGACTGTAAACAGACTGTAAACCTGAGGTTTCATTTTGCTATATTGAAGATTTAGATTGGATATAAGGAAGAAGGTTTTTACAGCAAGAGCGGTGACGCATTAAAGCAGGTTGACCAGAGAAGTGGTGGATGCCCAGACATTTGTGACATTCAGGATCAGGCAGGGCCAGGTTTTAAGCAATTTGATATAGCTGAAAATGTCCCTGTTCGTTGTGGGGGTGTTGGTTGGACTTGATGACCTTTAAGAGTCCCTTCCAACTCCAAGGATTCTATGATTCTGTGAACTTTCCACGATACTATGATATTCCTATATGGTTTTTGTGTTCTCAGTTTTCCCTATTGGGAGTCAGGGAAAATACATGAGTATGGTATAATATCATAATAAATAGAGGCAGAATTTTCTTTTCCTGAATAAAATAAAACTCAGTGTAATATACCACATTTTGAAAGTTGTTGCTCCAGTTAGTGTGTGTGTGTGTGTGTGCATGTATAAACATAGGATCTCAAAATTCAGTGTGTATGTTTGTGTGCATGAGTTTTACTCAGACATTTTTTTGGATAAATGACACAACGATTAGGAATCTTAAGCCACAAATTCCCTGAATTGTTTTTCAGTTGTTCTCATTTGCTGGTCATTTTGTTCAAAAATACTACTTGTAGATACATTTGCTACCTCAGGATTTCCTTGTGTTGCAGATGCTTTACCCTCCTATAAGCAATATTACACTAATTGTGTGACCCTTTTATTTATGTAGGACTCAGATTAGCAGAAGGCATGATAATTTGCTTCCTGTGGTAGTTCACAATGTTAGTGTCAGACTCTTCAAGCTATCAGTTCCACGAGGCCATTTATATTGGATTACACAGGCCTGGAGTGTTGTGGCTGTAAATCATACTTACTGCCTACAGAGACTTTACACTGTGTCCTTTGAATAGATTGGAGAGTAATGATGCGTGATCAAAAAGCAGCAGAAGAAAAGACAGCAGAGATTTTTAAATAAACTTGATTATGCAACTTTTTTTGTAATGTGAAATAAATTTTATTGACTCAACTTTATTTACTGCTGGTCCATTATCTAACTTGGAATGCAGAATTATGCCTTAGAAGGCTTTACTTCAGATCTGCTAGGTGGCTTCTTAAGAGTTTTCATAAAACAGAATAAACCAATTTCAAAAACGAACGAGGCGAATATCTGTTTAGGAAACTGTCACTACTTTTGCACAGGAAAAGTTTTCCTGTGGTTGAAGCTTTTTGGAAACTATTTCAGAAATACTGATATTTCAATGAATAAATTGTTAGTTTTTAAATTTACAATTTCATGAAACTGGTACTCTTCTATGTGCTGTTACATATTCTTCCTATGATGCATTGTGTAGGTACCATTAACTGCCACATGGCTTGTGGTTTTCAACAGGTCTGCAGGTCTTCTTGATCCAGGAATGCTTGTGAATATTCAACAACCTCTGATCAGGGATGATGGTACCATCCTCCTAGCTGCTGACTCTAAAGTATGAATTCTTTCAGTTAAGTTCTGAACATATTGATATATTGTATGGGAACTGAACCTCTGGTTGATCACCTGAGGCGAGCACTGAGTCAGGCAGAGGAGCACAGGTGAAGGCAATGCAGCCGTGCTGCAGGAAGGGGGAGCCTGGCTGCACCCCTCCTAGATCTGTTTAAGAGCTGGCTGCCAGTGGGGAAGGATCTCTGCTGGAGATCTGCTCTGCTGGAGTTTTGTGAGTGAGTCCAGGATAGGGGTAAGCTTTCTATACTCTTTTTATTATTATAATCTGCTTTGCCTAACTCTCTTGTTTATCTTGTAGTTATAACATCTTAATATTCATTGATTATGCATATATACAAACTGTTTTAGCTATGTACACAAACATGAGTCATTCTTGCACTTGAGAGGAGAAGGTTGGGGTGAGTCTGAAAATCTGTAGAAATGCAGAGGTAAAATAAGTTCATCAACAGAGACATTGTTTCTTTTCACACTTATTTACACCATAACTAGATCTCTGTACAATATGTCAACAGAGGTTGTGAGTTAGGGTTTAAAGGTCATTGTCAATCACATGTGAACCATTGTAGGTGATCAAGAAATGGAAAAATACATAAGAGTAAAAAGAACACAAAGATTAAAAACCTAAAATTAAAAAAAAAGAAAGTATGATGTAGCACCTATAATTCTGATTCACTGATATGGTTCTTCCTTTTTAGGCTGAGACAAGCCAGGGTGCTTTAGGAACACTAGCAAATGTTGTAACATCTCTTGCTAATCTCAGTGACTCGCTAAATAATGGAGATACTTCTGAAATTCAACAAGAAGAGCAATCTGCCAGTGAAATTTCACGGTATGCATCTTAATTTAGCATTTTGTATTTTGTATATTGAAGTAATTTGGTGTTGTGATATCAAACACAGTAGAGATTGCCGAGTACTGAGAAATACAAAAACAGTTCTTTGGAAATCTGGACTTGGCTGTTGTCTCAGCCTGTAGACTGCTTGTGAAGAACTGTGACGTGTTATAATGATAGTGGTCTGAGGCTAAAGTAGGTTTCATACTAAGAAAAACAAGAATAGAGTAGAATTATAAAACAGAAAAGACCTTCAACTTCAGTGAGTCCATGTGTCAATCTCACCTACCAAGACCCTTCACTAAATCATGTCCTTTAGTGTTGCATCCGTACATCTCTTAAATATCTCAAGGGATGAGGATTCCACCACTTCTGTGGGCAGCCTCTTTCAGTGCTTGAATAAGTGACTGGCTTGTGGCTTTCAGAAGTGCTGAGAATAGTAACGCTTTGATATTGCTTTATTTGACAGGCTTGTTATATGCAAGCTTCTCCTGTGAAGTGCTTGTTGCCCTTAACGCTTTTTCTTGGGGTTCTGTATGATTTTGCTGTGAGATTGTACTGCCAAAATACCAGTTGGTTAAAATGGGATAATTGTGGTTAAAGTAAGATGGATAAACATTTTTTAAATTTAATGTTTAGAAAAAATTTGAATACTTCATTAAATGAGGAAAAACAACACACTCTTGAAATTCTAGGGATGGGGGAATGTTTTTTTGTTTTCTTAATTGTTGTTTGTTGTTGTTTTTGAAGGAAAACGTAAGTTGGCAGTACAGTGAAATAAGAAAAATACTTGGCCTTAAAACTCTCCAGTGTTTCTCAAGTAGACTTGTAAGAGGTGTTTTACTTTAGGCTCTTAAGTCTGTTATTAACTGATACCTTAAAATACTTGCCACTGCAGCTTCTGTTTATTCTTTTTAACATTGTAGTCATTTTTTCTGCTTAAAAGAATAAGAATCCCCCAATTTCTCAATAAAAAGTGTCAGAACAACACTATGAAATACCGTTATAGTATTGCTTAGTATTGAAGTGGAGCATAAAATTCTGAATCTAGACCTAAGCTCAGTCATCATAAAAAAAAAAAAAAAAAAAAAAAAAAGGAATTTACACAGTCTTATTTCTCCAGTGGCAACAGCTGGAGTATAAAGTATAGGAACTAGTCCTTCTTATATTACTGTCATGAGATTTCTAAGGCACTGTCCTCAGGAGAAGGAAATTGAGATGTTTTTGAGGTGGGACTCTCTTTTTAATTGGTTGTATACTGGGCATTCCCTGTAATGTCCAAACAGTACAAAAGAACCAGGCTTTAATGAAAAACCTGGCCTCATGTCTTACCATACATGGGAACTGTTTACCCTAACTTCTGAGTGGGAATGCCTCATTGGGTTTTATTTAACTTCTTTGAAAACTCCTGAGAGTGAGGAAATGCTTTCACTGTTGCTCTTTATTGCAGGGCATTTGATACTTTGGCCAAAGCACTCAATACCACAGATGGTACAGCAGCTCCTAACTTGGCAGATGGAATGGATCCTACAGGAGGAGGGAATATTCATGTAATTAGTAGAGACCAGTCGACGCCAATTATTGAAGTGGAAGGACCCTTACTTACAGATACGCACGTTACATTTAAGGTACATTTCTTGACGTGTCTTACTAAACCAGTAAGACGTAATCCAAGATATGAGTTTTCTTTAGCAAAATTAAATGTGGCAATCTAGAATAACTGATATTTGAAAGAATCTAGTTCTGTTTTTGCTCTTGCATGATCTATGTTAAATGCATAAATGTTTTTTTAGAAGATATTTATTTCACTTTCTGCTATGGTTGATAATCACTTAACATATCATCCATGTAGTACTGATTTGCGTAGTTCATTTATAGTTCTAGGTAATGTAGAACTTTTGTTACACACAAATCTTTTAAATAAGAGGTTGCAGTGCCTTTTTAGACTCTTTCAATTACACCAATCAAATAAGAACACACTGAAAATTGTGGGAGAAACAATTACAATCATTGTTATCAGATTGCACTGTTTAAAGAGTTACAAAGATCATTACTGAAATAACAGTACCTAAATAGTCAGTTTAATCATAACCCGCTTATTCCTATTAATGGTGTCTTGTTTGTAGATTCATACTCTACAATTTTCCTATTTTAGGATTTACTTTACTTTCAAGAAGTTTTAGAAAATAGTTTCATAGTACCATGATGTTAGATTTGTTATTACATGGAAATTAAAATGATTCAGAATAAACATTTGAGCTCTCATGTTATTTCTATTCCCATCCTCATTTTGCTTTCCTTCCAAGAAGTAATGACTTATTTAGTGAAGTTTAAATTTGGCAGTATCTTGTCAAACAATTGCTTATGACAGACAATGAGACTAGCTTGAATGTTTTCAGTGGTTACTTCATTGATAATAAAAATTATTTTCTACCTTGACTGTACATATTGTACTCTACGTTTTGCAGCTGACAATGCCCAGTCCGATGCCAGAGTATCTTAATGTACACTACATCTGTGAGTCAGCATCACGGCTACTGTTCTTATCTATGCACTGGGCTAGATCCATACCTGCATTTCAAGCACTTGGGTAAATAGACATTCTATTGTTGGTTTGCTTTCTAATTAATTAAAGCATTGACCTTAATGCTTTTGAACTATTTTGAATTTTTAAATGAGTGAATTATTTGTTACTGAATTCTTTAAAATGTGTGAAGGCTATACAGTGTTCACCTTTTTGAACAGCAGTAATATAGATGGTGGCAGAGGAAGGGATAACTACAATATCTGATGTTACTGCTTTTGCAGAAGCTAAAACTGAATCAAAAGGAAGGATTTAATTTGTGGAAATCTTGGTGAAGAATTGGTGAGCACCATTTTACAGATAACCTGTATGGTTTTGTGTAGTTGATCTATTACTTTTTGCTTTTTGAAATACTTGTAATATGGTAATATAAGCTGTTTTAGTAGGATGGTTGAAATATGTTAACCCTTGTTACTGATTGTTATAATTGGTATAATATAAAGAGAGCAATACCAACCTGATATGAAAATTAGCTTCTGCTGATTTTGTTGTTCATAGCCAGGAGTGTAATACAAGCCTTGTGCGTGCCTGCTGGAATGAGCTGTTTACCTTAGGCCTGGCACAGTGTGCGCAAGTGATGAGTCTGTCAACTATCCTAGCAGCTATTGTCAACCATCTTCAGAACAGCATACAGGAAGGTACGTGTTCACTATGTGATTCTTATGTATGTTTAGTACAGGGTTCCAAATGGACTTTGAATAACATTTCTCACAAAACCTTTTCTAGTTGGTGGCAGAATTTTTCCCCTGGATCCTGGGGGGGGGAAAGGTGCTATACTTAGATGTTAAGTGGTTTTAGAATACCAAATGTGTAGGGAAGCAGGTCTGAAACGGTTAGGTTTGGGCTTGAACTGGTGACTGGTTGAGCACCTGATGAAAGGGTGTAGCTGGCTCAGGGAGCGCAGGCAAAGTGCGTGCGTCTGTGCTCTCCACATGAGCAGAAGGGGTGGACCCAGAGTGGAGCCACACTGGGCTCTTACAAAGGCCAGCCACTGCAGGGAGAACATCCCCTGGACCTAAACTGCTTCCTGAGAAGGAGTGCTGCGTAGCCAGAGATCCCCTCCACCAGTTGGGTGATTTCAACTCATTTTGACTATTGGCCTACCTGTGAATACTTTGTCTGGTATTGACAAGAACGTGTCAGAAGCAATTTTGCTTCTTTGTGAGTGGAACAAAATGACACAAAAATACTTTGATATGTCACTTGTTTCATGAAAAGGATGCTGTTTAATTTATCAGATGTACTTGAGCTCACTTGAAAAAAATATTATCTTTTTGTAGATAAGCTTTCTGGAGACAGGATAAAGCAAGTCATGGAACACATCTGGAAACTTCAGGAGTTCTGTAACAGCATGGCCAAGATTGATATTGATGGATATGAATATGCATACCTTAAAGCTATAGTCCTATTTAGCCCTGGTAAGGAATTTAGTAACAGTATTTGTTTAAATAATAAGCATTCATATGTTAATGTTGTAGGAATGTTTCAAGAGGCTGATAGCTTGAGATGAAACTGTTAAGTTGTGGGAAAATTAGTGATCCATAATGATTTATCACAAACTATATATATATATTTAAAATAATTCTGGACCAACACATTTGTGTTATTTACAGCTCCAGTCTATCAAGAATTTCTTGTAAACCTGGCTTAGGAGACTAGAATATCAATTATCTTCAGCTGATAAGTAATAAGTTATCTAGCAATATTAGTGAAGCAAATGGCGGGAAGGATCAGAAGAAAATATGTTCTGAAAATGACAGGAAGAAATTGACATCAGTGTTAATATTTTTAAGGCACTTGTAAGAGGAATGGTGTAATAGTGGTACTTCTACTCATATATTTTATATATGGGGCCTCTACCAAATCTCCAGAATTAAATGCAAGCCAGCTGTCTTCTGTCTTATCGAAATGACAGCAGATATGTAGAGCATGATCAATAGTATTTATGAGGTGAGGATTTCCTTAAAGAACATGCTACATGTTTTCTGGAATTACAAGGTAGAATATTAAAGAAAGGAGAGCTGACAGTTTCTTCAGCACAGGGAGAGAAGTGTTCCTAGGATGCTGGAAGGTTAATTTAAAACTGCTTGACAGACTGAGTGAAAAGGAAGGTCTTGCCCTGAATCATAATTATCTTGAATTCAAGTAAATAATCTACCACTTTTTAACAAAGTACCAAGAAAATGAATATCTTGTTAGGAGGCTGCTTTTTTTTTGTTAGTGTTTTTTTTGTTGTTGTTTCTGGTTTTTGCTTTGATATTATTTTTCTCTTTGTAATAAAAACTCAGTTTAATTAGAAGATACCAGTGTCCTGACATTGCTTTTGGAAATTTTCTGTAGATTGTATTATTAGATTTACATTTATTAGGGCTTTCATGCAAGTCTGAGGGGCAAGCAACTTCAGTATGGTTCTGTCCCATTTCTTTGCACACAATGGTGAAAATACTGGGGCACAGTCAAGTCTGTCACATTTCCAGTTTTTCTGATCATGTGACCCTCTTTGAGGTACAGAGCCAAGTGGAATTAAAACATGAAACAGTTTCAAGATCAAGAAATCAATCTGTCAAGAAAAAAAATAAGATTTTACTCAATCTGCATAGATAATTAAAATTACTGAGGAAAATATGTTTTAAAAACAGAATTAGGAACATAAACTGGGAATGTCATTGCCTGGTATATAACAAGATGAATCTTTTTCTGCTTTCTTGTGGATACAGCCTGCAATGGAGAGAAAAGTGAGTATGCCACTTGTGCAGCCAGGAAGCAAATGTTCAATTGAATGGTTTAAATTTATTCAACTGTCATGATAAAGATCACAATACAGTGTTTAAATCATGTAAGCACATGTACTTTGCAACCTAGAAGGAAACAATCGACATACAGAAATGTTTTGTTTCTTTAGATCACCCTGGTCTGAACAGTTCAACCCAAATAGAAAAATTCCAGGAGAAGGCACAGATGGAATTGCAGGACTATGTACAAAAAACCTATCCAGAAGATACTTATAGGTATTTATTGTCTATAGTACCCAAAACAATGTTGTGAGCTGTAGCTGGCAGAAGTGCAAAATAGCATCATGATGTTGTAACTTCCTTTTTGACATCTGTTCTTGACTATTAAGGTGAAACAGCCAGAACCTTGTTCACAAAAGCAAGAAGAATTGTTTAAAGATAGAATAAAGCAAAACCTGTATTTTTTTTCCTAAGTGAGGCCTGGGTTTTTTGTGTGGTTTGTGAGTTTTTTTGTTTGTGTAGCTTTTTCGGTTGTGTTGTTTTGTTTTTGATCATGAAATGGATCAGTTGGAAGAGACCACATAGACCATTTAGTTCGGTCTTCCTCCCACTCCCAGTAGATCAGGTTGCCCAAACACCCATCCAGCCTGATCTTGAACTCTTCCAGCACTGAGGCATCCGCAGCTTCTCTGGACAGCCTGTGCTACTGCTTCACCACCCTCATAGTGAGGAGAAAGTCTTATATCTAATCTAAACCTGCCCTTTTTTTTTTTTTTTTTTTTTTTTTTAGTTTAAACTTGTTACCACTTGTTTGTTGTTTGGTATTTTTTTGGTTTTTTTGAGAATTTCATTTCTGTATTTAGGAAAATAGAGAGCTTACTGTCTATGTTAGAAGTCTCAAGTTCTTTAAGTCAGACTGCCTCCTTTTTCAAGTTAACTGTCAAAGAGACTTTGAGATAATAAAAGATGATTATCATCCTTTAACTATTTGTCAAGAGACATGTGCAGAAAAATATTTATTTCATTTGGAGACCTTGAAAAATTAAGGTTTATATATGTAAAACAGTAAAGAACTCTTAATGTTCCATTATAAGAAATTCTCACTTCCTGCTTCTTTTCACCTTGACTTTTTTTTTTTTTTTTTTTTTTTTTTTTACATTTCCAAGGACTTGTCTTTGAAGTGCCTGATTTGTTTTTGTCAGCTCTCAGCTGTTTCTGTTTGTTGCTTGCCTAGGAGTAAATAACTTTTGATGGAGTTATTTCCATCAAAATTGTTTTGTTTTTGAATTTCACAACAAGATCTTTCCCAGTACTACAAGGGGAATTCCAACTTCTAGTAAGTCTACAATCACAGAATGGTTTGGGTTGGAAGAGACTTTAAAAGACGTTTAGTTCCAACCACCTGCTGTGGACTGGGTTGCACCCCACCAGCTCAGGTTGACCAGAGCCCTGTGCAGGGCTGGGGCAACCACCACAACCACTGCTTCTCTGGGCAGTAGTGCCAGGTCCTCACTGCTCTCTGAGTGAAGAATTTCCACTTGACGTCTGACCTAAATTTCCTCTTTTACTTTAAAACCACCCCCCGTGCCTTTCACAGTCAGGTCATGGGAAAAGTCTGTATCCCTCTAGATTCTTAAGCTGCTTTTTAGTACTGGAAGGACTGTTTGAACTTTGTTTTACTGTGAGAGTCATTTCCATGTCAAAGATATACCTATAATCATGTGATTCCTTATATTTAAGCAAGTTCTGAGGAACGTGTAACTTGGAGTTGGGGGAGGGAGTGAAACTGTAAAAGAGCTCCCATTTCAGAAACTGGTCTCTGCACTGATTCTAATAGAGATAAGTGCTGTGTGAGTCGTTAGGATTCCCAGTTAAATGCAATGGAGATGGAATTTCTGCTCCAGAAGTATCCACAGATCCAACATTGTTCTTCCATATACAGTTCAATTATTCTCATTTTGTGAATGAGAAGTGGACTTCAGTCATAAAAAGAAATACAGAATTTGTTTCATGTACTTAATTTTCTTAGTAATAATTTTCTTAGTAGTAGACTCCAGAGTGAAGATTAGAGTTGCATTTCCAAAACCCTATTTTGTATTTTATGTCGTTTAGATTTATCCATGTGTGAATGTGAAGCTACAATCTGATTACTTCTGAGCAACTGAATGCTAGCACAAATTGAAATAGAAGCAGAGGTGCCATCTTTTCACAAAATAGCACTGTCTTGAATCTTTTTGCAGTTTTCCTCTATGGTTTACAAGATGTGGTCTATTATTTGAATGGCCTTTATGTATTCTCTCTGTAGACAGTCTAGCGTTCCAACAGCTTGTTCAGTGCTGCCTAAGTTTTGCGATTTCATGCATCCAAATCCAAAAATGCATGTATTTTGTCAGTTGTGATGTATATCTGCCATGTACACACAGCAGGTATGTTTCCAACATGGTTCTTGATTTTAAAATTGAGAATGCACTAGAAGACCAGAAGTATAATGTGATCACTTTATTACATTGGATGTCTGCTAAAATCCTTATAGGCAAAAAACACACCATTTGAAAGTACACATAAATAACGGCATGCCCTTCCAAATTAATTTTCTCATCAGGAGCAGATTCACTAATTTTTTCATACATACGCAGGCCCCTTTTTGCTGTTTGGCTTGTCATTAAGTTGCTAGGCAACTGTACTGTTTATGGTTTCAACTTTAAATAATTGAGTCTTTAAATTGTGCAAACAGTGCATTAGGCAGTAGGAATATTACTTATCTTTACACTGTCGTGAACCATGAGATGCTTCCAGAGCTGAGAATTTCAGAAGCAGAGCAATTGAATGGTGTATCTATACATACTTACATCTGCAAAGGGCAATAGTATGTCCTGCTCACCAAAGAACCAGTAAAAAAAACCAGATGCTTTCCATTTCACTTGTTAGATAGAGAGTAATAGTTCTTTTTATGGTAGCTGAACTAGTTTTAATTGCCTTTTTACTCCCTTTCATTAGTTCTGGTAATAAAAATAGCAGATCCAGCTCTTTAGCCACACAGTATTTTAAACTTGAAATTTGTGTACTTATAATTTGCTGAACTTCTTTTTCAGGCTAGCCCGGATTCTAGTTCGCCTGCCAGCACTTAGGCTGATGAGCTCTAGCATTACTGAGGAACTATTTTTCACTGGTCTCATTGGAAATGTTCCAATTGACAGCATAATCCCCTACATTCTCAAAATGGAAACAGCAGAATACAATGGTCAAATAACTGGCACGTCTGCATAGTGGGAGCAACACAATTTGGAGGATCAAAGTAATTTTCACAGAAACGTACAGTTAAGAAGTGAATAACATTTTGGTATGTACAAATATTTCCAACTTGTTACTGTTTCCTATCGGATTTGTCTTTGTCTGTTTGCTAACACCGACAAGATTGAAGCAGCTATTGAAAGAGCAGCTACTGGACCTTTTCTGCCGTAAGGAGTATTTCCGTGCCTTTCATTCAGAAGGCTATAGGTTGCTGAACGTACTTCTCACGTGATTTGTATTTAGAAATTATCACTGGTTAAAAATAGAGTTTTATAATATCAGAGATGAGTAATAAGATGACTTCAAAAGTAAAAATGAACAGTATAGGTAGATTTAAAAATATCCTTGAAATTAATATCTAAGAATTGCTGGGGTATAATACTAGCACTTTGTAAGCACTTCTCATCAAAGCGATGATGTCAACATCCTGTGTATGAGTAGGAAGGATGAAAAAATTGCATATGTCCTTAGTAAAAATGCTAGTGATGTCTGTGAAAATGTAGAATGCTACAGGAGACAATCATTCCACAAAAAGTCACTTGCTTCTATGTTATACATTAAATAATAATGTGGATTCTTGGATATCCATGTTATAAAGAACCATACTGTTAAATTAGGGCAGTTGTTACTAACAGCATGAATTGATTGTAGTGACTGCTACGTACTACAGAAATGACCAAAACTAGGAGGAAAAAAAAAAAGTTTCTTCAGTAATGGAGAGTTCTTCAGGTTCCTTAAAGTTTCTGTTCAGCTCAAAATTGGTGATAAATATCATCCTAATAGGAAGCCTTTTGATTGTGGAAAATAATCAGTCATTAACTGGAAGAGCAGTTGTTTTCAAATAGAGGTGCCCTTTTAGAATGGTCTGTGTATCTGCAGACTTGCTCCTTCTATCTGTACTCCTGCACACTCACTCATCCGGAAAAACCTGGAAAATTGAGAACCTCTGGCTGTCAACAAGAGAACGCCATAAAGCTCTCAATTTTTTCTGCCCCCTTATCAGACAAAGCACTTCCAGTTTTGCAGCGATTCCAGCTGCCTTACGGCTCAATTTGAGAATTTGGGATTTACTACTTTATGTACGGTTGCAGTTAATGACTGATATAGTGATAAAATGAATGACTTTTTTAATAATCTAGAGTGATGAGGCATCAACATGATTTCTTGTACTGGTCATTACCTGCTAGCATTGCTTTTAGTTAAGTATAATTTATTATAATTGACATTAAGTATTTTAAACAAAGTGTTTTGTTTCTTTAAAAAAAAAAAATCACGGTGAAGATCTTCATCTGATCCTGGCATATTAGCTGCATCAATTAGTTTAATCATTTGTATAATAGAGATGTTCTCTGTTTGCATAATCTTATGTGACAGTAATCTAATGAGAAATTCAGCACTTTTTTTTTTCCACTAGTGACACGTATTTAGGAACACTAACCAGGTTGGTGTTCATGTCTTTTAAGTCTGAATTGTAGCAAAGATCTGAAGCAGGTCTACATAAAGCTTCTGATGTAATAAAAAGCTCTGAACCTGGTATACTTCTAGATTCTCATTAGGAGACTCACATTTGTACAGCTCGTTATGCCACGAGTGTTACGTGACTGCAGAGGCTGTAGTTCTAGCTTCTGGATGCATTAGGGTCTTGTACAGTCACCACTGTTAGAACATTCATGTTCTCTAAAGTGCGTAACAAGAAGTCTGGTATACATGTGGAGATCTGTAATATTGCACTTCTCTCTTAGCTTTTGCTGTAATACTAGCAAATGAAATTATACTTTTAATGTGGTGGAAGGCCTGCATTCTGAACCTTAAGTCAACTGGAATGCAGGACTTAGTAGTAGTTGTTGCACTGCGGTATGATTTGTGTGGTCATGTCAGCACACCTGGTGCAGAGTCCCTGTTCTGAAGGTATAAGAACTAAAAATAGGAGCTTTATCAACAACAGAAGTAGTACCTACCTTGGAAAACTTTGTGGCTGGTTTTGTTAAAATGGTAAATTTTATGGCATCATGTTACTGTTCTAGAAGTGGTATACACTCAACTTGTGATTGTTTTTGTTGCAAAAAAAAAAAATCATTTTCTTCCAATACTTTGTAAAAAATCATTTAAGCAACTAAATAGGCATTGTTAAAGAGAAATGAAATATTCCTGATCACAAGAGCTAGAGTCAAAGGTTTGGCGTGTGAATGAGCTACTGAAAGCAATTGCTGCCATATGAAACCATATTCTCCAGTGGGGATAGGACTCCTTTTACACTAAATTTCAAGTGTTATCTGGCAGCAGAGCTATTTTAGTTCATTCAATGAATGTTTTTCTTTCCTTTACCTGTCTGCTAATATAAGGGAGGTGTTCTAAAGATGCAGAACTGACAAAGTGATTCTTTCTGCCAGCAGTGAAGGTGTTCCTTGCAGCAATGGCAGGAAATAAGAAAAATAGAGCAGATACAGTTTTTGAGATCCATGTTCATTTTTCACCTTACGGAAATTGAGTTTTCAGGCCAATCTAACATAAGGCAGAACAGCAGGCATGGTACAGCTGCAAGCTTAAGAGAATTTTAAACTCATTTCCTAGATTGCAGTTAAGCTGCATCATAGATTCTGATCCCCTATATTCCACCTAACGTAACATATTACGTTAGGAAAAAAGTCATTGGTACTGCAGAGAATACTACAAGGCTAGTGTAGCTAGTGTCAGGACTGAGTTTGCCAGTGAGTGGAAAGCAGCTGCTGACTAATCTCATTAACTTCTAAATGAGTTTCGCTTTGTTTCTTTTCTGCAAGTGCAGCCTTTTGCTTGTAAATATGGAACAGGATTTTAAAATTCCTGAAAAATGATTTATTGACTTCTAAGTATGGAGATAGCTTGTTTTCATACAGGCCTAATAAAGGCCAAACTTGTGTTTACAGAACTAGACTCAAAAAGTGGTTCCAAGAAAAGTGTAATCTCACTGAAGCTCGACTTAGTGCCTAAAATATACAATTCAAAATCTTCCAGGTCCTGTTTCTGCTACTCTTGAAATGAAAGTATTATCTGGTGGAAAAATAGCAATGAAGTATCTGACTAAATGGAACAGAACTTGGTTTTGTGTATGTATAGGTAGTAATTCATTCAGAAAATTGTTACAATTCTGTACTGACCAAAACTGGTATGTATAGGGAGTGATAATAAGGCAGTAATGTCCAAGGTCTGTGCACTTTGCTTCCTAATTCTTGAGAAGGAATGGATTTGGATCTCGTAGATGGAAAAAGAGCAATGACAGATGACAGTGTAGGAGCATTTGGGGTTAGCTTTGATATTTTTATTGCATTTGTGAGACAAGAAGGTATGGTAATTTACATATGTTGGATCAAGGAGATGCAGGACAAGGCCATGTGCAAAAGTCACTTTGCTCTGCTATTTATTCTTCTTAGAAATGAAATGGAGATATTCTGCTGTGAAGCAGGTTAAAAAAAATAATAATAATCTCCAGGAATTTTAAGTGAGATCCTTGGAAGCATACAATACTCTGTTTTAGTTGCCTTGAACTCACTGAGCCACAGAATTGTGGGGAGCTGCAAGGGGCCTCTGAAGATCACACAGTTCAACTCCCAGCTAAAGCAAGTTCTCAGGAGCAGATTACAAAGTTAATTGAGAAGGCTCAAATGTCACAGCACTCTGAGACATGAAAGTATTGTTTGTCTTTGTTGATTACTTGGTATCATTTACAAAGGGATTTTTTTTTAATCATCATTTGAAGCACTTGGCCCTCAGGGCAGCAATAATGTAAATAGCACCGACTCAAGGTTTCTGTACTGAAAGCTGTCTGTGCCTTCAGCAGAGGGCATATTCTGCAGTGTGATTGGGAAAATGAGCCAGGACCAAGACTTCCGGGTCAAACCAGTCTCCTGAGTTTATCTTCTTTGCTAGAGGCTGTAAGACACCTTAGTATTTTCATTGCTATATATAATACACAGGGTTTTTCACTGATTCCTGAATTTCATTCAAGGTGGTAGAGATACTGGTGTTTCTCCAGCCATTGAAATTAAGAGGTAGCCAGGAAAGAGAGACTTAGCAGGCTCAGAATTCTACCAAAGAAGCAGTGATGAAAGCTGCTTTCTGCAATAACAGTAACAATAACCAATGAGGGAGACCTGTTTGAACTGGCGATGGGAGGCGAACTGGCAGGTCAGCCTAACATACGCTTCCAGCAAGTGTTTTAACCAACTGAACTCTGTGAGTTATGATAGTATAATTGTCCAGTTCCACAGCATTTAAGGTGCTTATAAAGTAAAAATGAAACTCGGTGTGTAGCCTATAAATGATGTGAGTGCCCAGCTATCAGTTCTGTGAACGCTGCTTAGTGAGGAGAGGACAGGTGCACCGGTAAATACCAGTAAGTACTTGTCTATCTACTATCACATTCCACAGGAAAAAAATATATATTGTTTTTCTATATGAAACCTTTTTCCTCTCCTTCACTTACTCTGTAGAGCACAAAAACAGGGTAGGTTGCTTCTTTTCAACTCTGCTGTTGCCACGTAAGTGAAAGAGCAGAAATAACATGTGAGTGAGTTCCTGTCTGTCCCAGTTGTATGGCAAGAGTGGCAAACAACAGATGTGGTGACAGTTTGCTCTGATGACAAATATGGGCCTGTTCTGGCAGCAGCACACAACATCTTTAAACCCAATACCTCATTTTATCCAGGTGGAATTAGCAATGGGCAGCCATGGTCACCCCAAAGGAGAAAAAGGGTGGAGGAGGGTCAAATTGTCAGCATCTACTGCATCTTGAGTGTCAGAAAATAATTTGTAAAATGGCTTTGTATGAAAATTACTGAGAAGGCGTGGTAAAGGGGAGTGTAAGTGGAAAAGGCTTCTTGCACTTTTTGGTTCTAAAGTTGCTGAGTTATTTTATCGGAAAGTCTCCTGAATTAAACTCAGGCTTGCTGTTTGCTCCAATTAAAATTATCAATGCTATATGGGAAATTACGTGTGCAAAAACATTGTGTATACCAAAGATGCAAGTTAGAGCATTTAACTTTTAAGAAGAATTTTACTTTAAGTCTAAATATTAGACTAGAAAAACATCCAGCCCCAAAATTACCCTATTACTGAGTTGTTGTTTTGTGTGAAATCGTAAGTTCATCACAAATAATGTTGTCATAACGTTCCATAATTCCCACTGCCCTCTTTATTTTCTGAGTTGGATGAATGCTTTGAAAATAGGAAAATGGCTTATTCTTAAATTCATGCTGTTTTCCCCCCCTTAATTTTTTAAAGGAATTTGATGTTTTACATATCCTTCCTTTGTGCCTCCCACCATTGTATGTTTCTGCATGTCCAGTACTAAAACTCATTCAAACAGCTGATGCCTATGTACATAGTGTATGTGTATGAATGTATATGTTTATAAGTCTAAATACTTATGTACAGTGTATATAAAGTGTGTAGTGTATGTAAATATGTACATATATGTTCATATATGTTCAAATATTCCTGATGTTCTTTGTTAAAACTTGGTTTTTTTTGTTCAGAGCTACTTAATTTTCATTTCTTAGCCCAAACTAAGCCTGGCTTAAAGCAGGTGAACACCCATGAATTTCAGAGCTTTGCCCCTTTTTCTAATCCCAGCTTGAGGTTGCTATTTTCTCTTCAGTACTCAAATTCAGTGAAGCTTGTAGCTTTTTCGTTATTCTCTTCACCTTCTCTCATTTGATGGGTGAAGTGAGCCAGTAAAGAGTTGGTAGAACCTGAAATAGCTGTGAAAAATAAATGTATTAAAAACAAACAAAAACAACCACTAGTCATGCTTCTATATTTTCAATATATACTTCTCAGAAGGCTGAAAGAAAATGGCTTTTTGTAAAGTCTTTTATTTCACAGTGAGACATTGTAAGTCTTCAGTGAGACATTAAGTCTTCAGCTGTAGTTAATTGGAAGAGAACAGCATTTCCCTGCACCACTGAACAGCAGCGCTCAGAACAGCATGCAGCCATGCCATTCAAAAATGTAATAATGAACTAAATGAAGTTTGTTGTTTATTTATTACCAAAGCTGTTGTCTGTTTTCAAGTTGTATCATTTTCTGAGGCTCCAGTCTGTGCAGATCTTTGCAGGGTGTGTGAAGTCTCCATTAATGGCGGGAGCTGGGCACACCGAGTGTTTGTGAAACTGGACTTGAGCGAAGTCTGTTATGCATAGGGAAAGTTCAGACATCTAAGGTATCAAAACACAGGACATTCTTGTTCGTTTTCCCTTCTGATGA